TGGGTGGTGAGAGTCAGCCCCAGAAGACCCCATGCTGAGCAAATAAGGGGCAGGGGTTTCAACAAAAGCCGAACCAAGTGTCACGGTGGCCATATTGGACCATGGATTCACCAACGTGGTTGCTATTTGTGACTTCAACAGGAACAGTTTTTGTGGAAAAGTCAAGCTAAGGATTGACTAGGAAGGATTCGAAAGAGTAGAAGGAAAGAGCTGAAGCCAGCAGGGGTAGGCAGTTCTTTTGAAGAGTATTATTGTATGGTAAAATACACTCTAATTTTTTTCCTGTAAAGGGAAACTAGAACTCTGTATTTGCTTTCTTAAGAAAACAACAAATTATTTTGTGGTCATTACAGAGGATGGTTAATTGGAGGGTTACCCAAAAGTAGGTTTTGAGGTACTTTGCGAACATTAGCTAGCTGCTAAAAGTCTCTGTTACTTCCCTTGAAAAGAAATAAAAGAGATGTTTCATGGAAAGAAGTGATTACATGTAAAAAGTTATGTTCATTTATTTATTTTAGAGGGGAAGTAACAATAATGATGGTTGATTGATTTTTATAAAATTACCCAGGGTCACTTGTGGGACGTAGTTAGCTTTCATGAAACTCATAACAAGCAATTTAAGGGTCAGAGCCAAAGGCTGATTTTAGCCCTGCTCTTTATTTTAGCTCTCAGAAATGGGGCCAAGCTCTATAAAGTGGAGAAATAAAGTCTGCTGATTGCCCTCCTGTATTCAAGTAACCATCCTGTGAAGCAACCCATGTATATTTATTTTAAACTAATAGAGTGTGAGGATAGAAATCTTGAGGCCTCCACCCAGAGATAGACTAAATAGTCCTACAATCTTTCACACAAAGAAGCTTTTCCTTTTATTATCACTTATAATTACTTTAGGCAAAAATAGCAGAATTCCTCATCATATTCTTAATGTACCTCGGCCTATGTATATTTTCCACTAATAGAGTGAAGAGGGAATGCATATTAGCAGTGGCTAATGATGACCATATTAATCAGTTCTGTTTATAGCACCCTTGACAACACAAATCATTCATTTTCCATGGGTCGAACTCCTCTTCCTTCATTAGCATTGCTATTAGTTCCTGTCAGTAAATGGTGTGTCCAAATTTCTACCAATTTGTCTCAGTGTATTTAATATTTTGCTTAATGGTACAAGGGGCAAAACCCAGGTTTATATATTTATACACTAATCCTTGTAATCTGCTTCAAATCCTTTCTGGAATGAGGCAAGGTATATCTCCATTAACAAAATTAAAATAAACCATATATAAACAAGCCATAGGCAAACTTACGGAGGTTAACACATGTTTTCCCTTAAATGTAACTATGAAAACAACCCTAATTAATGAGAACTCTATCAGGAAGGGTTTGTGGAAATGGATAAAATATGAGCTTTTCTGTCAGGTGGCCTGGGTTCCAAGGCCTGGCTCTGCCTCCTTGGACAGGAAGAAGTATAAGCTCCTCTGTGCTCAGGTTTTGCTCTGTGAAGTACAAAATGGGGTGCTTACCTCACGGGCTGGGTCCGAACGTCATTTGAGACAAAGTACCTAAAGATTTGGCACATGGTAAGTGCCTAACAAATGTTAACACTCTAGTTTTCTCTGTTGTCTTTTTTACATTTTTGAACATGTATGTGTCTTTCTCAAGTAGAATTCTGAGTTCACTGCCGCATAGTTGGTGTCAGGAAAGCATAAGCTCCTGTCTCTATTAATGTCCAATGCACATCTTACTGCATCCTTAGAGTGTAGACCTCAAATGTCCCAGAGTTAGAAGGCCATGCAAATCTATGGTCCACCAGCTGAACATGATTAGCTTGACATTAATGCCACTGGTCAGTGTGCGAAAGTTTGTGTTAATATAAATATGTGGACCGTAGCACATGTCTTTCTTCTTGTTCGCAGTGAGATTCACTTTACTACTGCATTTCTAGGAGCAATGACAGTGGAAGGGAAGATTAAAGTTGAAATTTCTAGTGGGTTTTGGAAATCTGTTAAGGAGAGGGCTATTGCTGTGGCATGGAGCCTATAGCTTGCTGGAAGAGAGTCCGCTGTTTCTTAGATACAGACTTAGTGTATGATTTAAACGACATGGTTCAAAAGAAAGTCAGGACCAGCAACAGTGAGATGTTGGAAGATGACCTAGCAAGTGAACAGACTGTGGTGATGGTGGGGTAACTGTAACTGGAGATGCTAAGTGTGATAGCAGCAGACACCAGTGCAGCATCCCCAGTAGGTGTCAGACCCTGGACCAGGATCCTATAAGCATTATTTTAATTAGTGTCATCACAATTCTCTGAGGAAGCAACTCTTACCAGGAACATTTTACAGAGGGGAAAAAGTAGATATCTAAATGGGGTGTGTCATTATAATTATGGTTTAATGGAGTCACAAGGGATCTAGACCAAGTAAGTATCTGGTGACTATTACTGATGGTGTGCAGCTCAGGTATTAGGAAAACTAGAAGGCTGGATGAAGAGAAAAGGAATGCTTCAGAGAAGGTTTAGAACAGAAGGTCAGGGAAGAAGTAGTCTCCACCTTTGACCACTGGTCAAACATTTACTGATTACTCGTTCTGCACTATGATGGAGGTAAACAAAAGCTACTAAAGGCTTCCTCTCCTTTCCATCTCATTCCTCCAGTGCATGTATAACCACTTCCAGGTGTTAGTTTTGGAGAGCAACAGCAATTCCAATAAGTTATTCGGCACACTCGATTTATGGCTAAATTTAGCAGGCGAGGAGTTGACTATCACAAAGACCCTCCCTATAACAGTAGAATCTGCTGTTTGAGCTATTGATAAAATATTGTTCACATCACATCCTTTTCCCACCTTTAGTTCATTGAGACAATATATGACTTTTTAGATTAGCAATATCCTTTCTGAAAAAATAAGAGTGAGGGTATATGTTTGTGTGTGTATATAAGGAAGTTCAGATACTTAACATCAGATTCTCTGAAAAAACACATATATTCATCCTCTGAACAATTCCTACCAGTTTCTGCTCCAGACACAAGGAATTTAGAAGAGAACTGATTATTCTTCATGAAGCACGCATTCTAGTGGAGAGAGAGAGAAGAAAACAAATGTGAATATATAGTGTATCTGTGATCAGATGTTATGGAGAGGGAAGGCCTCGGTGAGGAGTTCATGTTTGGATAGAGCAAGGGGCAGCAAGGCAGTCGAATGTCTGACTAAAAAGCATGCTAAGTAGAGGAAGAGCATATTACAGGTTTTTGAGCTGCTTGAAAACAACTAGGTCAGTGTGTTTGGAGCAGGTATTAATCAACTCTATAAAACATGAGGCAGGTTATTTTACACAACGAAGTTTATTTTAGCTCATAGTTTTAGAGGCTGGAAATGCAAACAGCAAGGTACAGGCCTTTGGGAGCACCTTCCCGCCCCCGCCCTCATGCACTCTGCAGGCTGCACTTTGTCTTTGTAGGGTTGGGTTAGGTGTAATTTTTTTTCTGTATGGTCTGTCTCCCCATCCTGATCACACAACCCCAAAGAGTCATCTCTCAGCTCCATCACTGGATTAAGCTTCTACCCTCTTAATATGATGGACATAAGAATAAACCTCTGTGTGAGTTTTGAGAGGCAAACCTACGCAAACCATAGCAGAGCAGATGTGTGAAGGGGCAAGTCTCCAAAGATGAACATATTATAGGTTTGGCTGACATGTTGCAGATGAGTAGTGACTGGGGAGGGGCCTTTGGTAGTCCGGAGTAAGGACTTCAACTTTCATTGCGAGGAAATGGGAAACTAATTTAGGGTTCGGAAAAGAAGACCTCTGGAGTTTTCAGTACACAGTCATGACTCTGACCACTCTGTTACAGGTTAGAAGACCGAAGTGCAGAACTTCTGAGAACCAGTCAGAGGAGGGAGACAGGTTTAACAGTTCATCCAGCTTACAGGGCTTCTGTGAGAAGCTTTTGCCATATTGAGAATGTTCCATGTGAAATGTAAATACCCCAAATTCCTTTAAAGGAAGGTATTATAAAGATGAAAGTATTCTTTTAACACTTAATTACTCTTACAACATAGAATCCTGTCATTACAGTTGTATTCCTGTGTTACAGAAAATGTGGATATTAGAGCAGAATGGTATCTGAATCTGTTAAGGTTACGAGGTTGTAAATGACAGAAATCAGCTATTCTTGAAAATAGGAAGTTTATTGAGAAAGTATTGGGTAGCTTATTGAATCAGTGGAAATTAAGTACAGAAGTAAACAGAAATCAAGCCATTGGAGATGAGAGAGTTTGTAGGTGGGGCACTCAGACGCAGGAACTCTGCTTAGGCTTATTAGAATGCCACTACTAGATCTGAACATTTCCTGTCTTTCTTTTGGCTCTGGATTCCTTTTGAAGCATTAATCTGTGACTCAGGCTATGGTCAGACGAGAAGTCTTGATTGGCTGTCTGCCTCAGCTCCATTCAATCAAGGAAGAGCAATCCAGGAAATTAGAGTCTATTAGCAAAAGAAAGTGTCCTGGATGGTGGCCAGCTAAAATGTTGCAAGTTCCATGATGTTAGCCCTAATTTTCTAGGACTTTTCTTTTAATTCTCATAATTCTTATAGTTTGGGCACATTTTCCTCTATCCATATTTTTTGTATACTTCTTTTTCTATCTTTTTAAGCTTAATTTTATAAACTGTTTTAATCTTGTGCTAAGTGGTAAAGTGAGTAGCCTTCTCTTTCCTTATTTAACCAGCTCTAAATTGCTAGTCATTGAGATTATTGTCACAAAAATACTGCAAGCAAAGCTGCAGTGAATATTAATATCTAACCCAAACTGGCTTCTACCCCTGGGTGTCTTGGAGACCCTACTGTGCTTCTACAAAACAGTGCAACATAAAATTAGTCTAAATGCCAGAAGAATTATATGAATGAAGCAGATTTCATCAGACTTTGGAACTATCAAGATAACCTTGAAACTGTGAGCCTTATCCTCCTAAAACCTGACTCTTTTGTCTTTGTGCATTAGGAGGCAAGCTGATTTTCATGGGTCCAGGGCCTATTGAGCTCAGGGCCCACTCCATCCTTGTTTCTGATGGTGGAGAGCTCCGGATTGGATCAGAGGACAAGCCCTTTAAAGGCAAAGCTCAGATCAAGCTCTATGGGAGTTCCCATTCTACTCCCTTCTTTCCCTACGGTGTCAAGTTCCTGGCTGTGAGGAATGGAACTCTTTCACTGCACGGTGAGTTTAGCAGCTGAGTAGAGGAAATGAAATAGAGCTGTGTCTAACAAATGCCTGGGCAATGGCAATTGATAAAACTATTTAAGAACACCTGGCTATTAGTTGCTGAGGCAACAGGTCAATTAGAGCATGACACGATTTCCTTAAAAACAAATAAAATTGTTATGGTTCTTATGGCAGATCGTACTCCGGTTCCTCATTGTTTGCTCCTCTTCCTGTGAGAGGGTTGGCTTTGCCCACTGTCGGGTGCTCAGTCTTTACGTGGGTGGACGTACTTCCCTGTCCCGCTGAGAGTGGCCTAAACCCTGGACTCATTTTAATTACCGGTACGTGAGCAGAAGTGATCGAGTGCATGGGCAGTGGAAGTTTTAAGAGTTGTTGTGATGCTTTAGTCAGTTTGCTCTTTCCTTCCACTTGAGAATAGCCTGTCCCTGATCAGGGGAGCTTCCTTCAAAGTGGGAGACTGATGATGCAAGTTCCTGATGATGGTTGATTTTTGAGTAAAGAACTAGAACTTTTTTTTGTTGTAAGCCTGTGAGGTTTGCATTTGTAATTGCAGCATAACCTAGCAAAAACTCATATAATTACTTAGCATACCTGAGTGCTTTTCTACATGTAGTATCCTGGCATTACAAACCCCATGAGGACAACTTCATTCTGTTTTATTGGTGAGCCTCTTCCTTCCCCCATCACTACCCTGTGAACAGAGTTCAATTACAGTTGGACTCAGAATCCTCATACTAATGGATTGGATGTTTTTGGATTACTAGAAGAAAGCTGGGTTTAGGCTGCCGTGTATCTCTGCTTCATGTTTATTTGCCTTCTGATCACCTAATTCTACCTTGAAAAATGGACTTTCCCCCTTAAGTTTCAGGAAATTACTATGTATGCCAGGGTACTTGTGAGCATCAGCTGGAAAATGTAAGAAAAATTATGAATGTTATGTATATTTCAGTGGATACTTGCGTACTATTGCTTGTGTAGCATGTGCCAAAGGCAGATCAAAAGTGTGGACTCAAGTGTGAACTTAGGTGTGGACATCGTGTATTAGCATGACAAAATAAAACCACCTATGAGACAGTAATTACTCTAGATGTGTGCTAAGGAGTCGGACATTGTTCTCTGTCCAGGCTCTGTCCATGATGAACTGTGCCTTTCAGTCATTGTTTACCAAAATGAACTCTACGAGCCTTTTTGTTTTATTATAAGAGGAAGCAAGATCTTTTCTTCAAGTGTTTAATTAAGCTAGATAATAAAGATTACAGTTTTAAGGTTTAAAAACCCGATAACTACCGGGCAGAAATCAAATCCTACTATGTTGATTTTCATATTTTCCTTCCAAAGAGGTGTACCATCCTCTTACCTTCATCATCCAGACAACACTGATCTTGTAGTCCAGGATGCATGAGCATCTCCTGTCCATTCACGAATAGCCATGATCTTCAGCTGCGTGCTCTAGACTGATGTTCATTTAAAACACCAAACCACAGTGCCGCTGTTTACCCCATGGAGAGAAAAACAGCTGCAGAAAAAAGGGCACAGAACAAAGGGGCGCATAACAGGCCTTCAGCCAGGCTTTTGATCATCTGAACGACCTGAGAGTCCTCAGATTCAAGATCCACTGTCCTATACAATGCTTGTGGTACAACTCCTGCTAGAAATCGGAATTCAAATGAGTGGATACTGCCTGAATTCTTTTAGTCTGCCTTTTTCATTTCATTCTAACTGCTTCTCATTCTTATGTTCAAGATATGAGAGATTAAAGAAGACATAATTATATGCTTATGTACCTGTATTTTAAATGAACCTTGTCCTTTGTTTTAAGAAAATTTGAGTGCCGCTGTTTCCATTTCTTCTTTGCTTTTCCTGTCATTCTCCCTCGCTTTTCCTGTCAAGCTTGTTCCTGTCAAGCTTCTCCTTTTGTGCTTTCAGACCTGCCAGCTGCAGCTGTGTAACCCGTTCCCTCCTCCCTGTCTCACAGAGGACTAGGACCCATGTGACCCACAGGGCTTGCACATAGAACACAGGCAAAACCAGGCTCTTTCCTCTGATAATGGTGCTGCAGTGTCGTAGTCATTTGGAAGAGATGTTATGTAGAAGGCCGCTGAGCATCAGGGTGAAAGGGGTCCCCTTCTGATGTGTCTGCTGGAGACACATGCTCACTTGTGGCTCATCAATCCCGCCCCACTCTCCCTCACCACCTGAGGTCTCAAACAGATTTCCCCTCCAGCATGATAGTACATCATGCTTCAAATCGTTATGTAATTTTGCTGGCCTTTTCCCAGGGCCAAAGGTGGGTCTGATGACACCAAGGCTTTAGAGAAAAACTAATTTCCTTTTGCTGTCTAATGCACAAGACTGTGAGCAACTTGATTCACTGCCTTGTACCAGAAAGTCCCTAACGACCCAACATGTTCTGATCCTCCCAAGACGGTGTAGTGTGGAGATTCACCAATTTTGGCGCACAGGTTTTTCTGGAGAGAGTTTATGGGTCAAGATTTTTGGGTCTCACCTCCAGAGTCTAATCCAGTGGGCCTGAGGCAGGCCTGAGAACAAGAGTTTCCATGGTTGATAACTAGGGGATCAGAAACCGGTTCAGTTCTGCTGCTTATCAGCTATGACCTTGGGCAAACTGCTCTCTAAAACCAGCAAACCCATGACCCTTTCCCATTCCTGGTTCATGATGTACTTCCCAGTCTCCAGCACAGGGTGACCCAAAGATCCATAGTTCTTACAATTTTAAAAAAGCAGTTAGGTATCTAGTGCCTCATTATTCTATGGGTGAGGAAATTTTAAAGAGGATAAAGAGAGTGAAGGGGCTTCCTTTCCTCCAAAATTTGTCACGAGGCCCACTTTGCCTAGGGATTTTTCTATTAAGTTCCATGCCTGTCCCCTCATCAATGTGAGAGGGGGCTTAGCCTTGGAGACCATGAGGCAGCAACACTCACAGGCACCTGCCTTTCTGTTCCCATAACCGGCAGACACTTTGGGATTTTATCTCTGTGATACAGCAGCTCCCAGCACAGGGCAGCCTCTGTTCCTGGGCACGGTTACAAGCGAGTTCTTAGGACCACCCTCCCGGGCCCTAATGCAGTCAGAAGCAGGCCGCTGTGCCCTGAAAGGCCCTTTGCAGACTTCCTTCCTGATATCCAGTCGGGAGAGAACTGCCAAATTCTAACCTGGCTCTAAGTCAGATCATAGAGAATCACATACAGGGGTCTACATGTCAGGGATACCGCTGCCCACACCTCCCTTCCTGCTCTTCATCCCACCCTTCTGCTCTAGCTGATTTTTAACATAAGTTAAAACCACTAAGCACACAGCAGACAAGCTTTGTTGCTCAGCTGTCCCAAGGAAAGCTGGAGTTAAAAGCATGTTTTATGTCTTTTAATGCAGAAAAACTCACATTCATGTGCTCATGTACACACACCTGCACGTGCGTGCACACACACACATACACAGACTCACAGTCACACATACCCACAAACCTCCCCCCTCCCCATTTTCTTTGTCTTGAAGTGGATCCCAACAGGACATGTTCGAAATCTCAGGTGGAGTTTAGGTTGTTTAGTAAGTCCTGTCACCTGCTCACTTGGATACGTTACTATGACCAAAGGGTCTCAGGATTCCTCCTAAGGAGGTCTGGGGTTTGGGTGGATGAAATCAATAGGGAAATTTCACTCTTGCCTTTTGCCTTGGCTACCCCATCTGCCAATCCAGCTTCACCAATGCGAACTGAGTGTCAATCATTTGTCACTTTTCAGGGGGTTGCTGTCAGCTGGGGCAACTTGAATTTTTGACAATGTAATTATGGCTCTTGCTTCCACAGTGGGAGTCTGAGCAGGACGGTGGGGCTTTTATTGATTGTTCAGCAGGGAAATTTATCAATGTCTCTCATTTCATTTCCAGTTCCTCCCTGAGAAATTTGGCTGACAGTTTCCTAGGAGAAAAGCAGTCTTTTGGCCTTCACTGGACTTCTTTGTCCTTTTCAAGAAACTACAAGATATAGGCACTAAATAGCACTGGAAATTTCTGAGAAAAACTAGTATGTGGGATGTGATTAATGAAAGCCTTAGTGCAATTGCTATGAACTTAACATATTTAGTAGGAACAAATAGAAAGGACCTAATAAGCAAGTTTACATGTGGTTTATTTTCTTCCAGTAAGTGCCTCAATTCCATGCTTTTGACAAGCACTGAATTATGCTCCATCATTGAAGTTTCTAAAGAGTATTGGGCTATGTTCAAGCATGGTTTAGTGTGTGTGGAGTAGGCTGCGTGTAAGTATGCTCCTGGCCAGTGATTTTCACACTGTGCTCTGCAAAATCCAAATGGGTCCTGGTGGGGCTTCAGGAGTTCTGCAAACAGTGAAGTATTTGGAGCTCAAGCAATAAAGACTTGAGTTGTTCAACTAATCAATTCACTGTTTTTATCTTTGTTGTGTATCTGTCTTCAAAAATAATATTTTATTAGAATAAAAGAGTTCTGCTGTTAAAATTGTGATGCAAAAGCACTGTGGTAGCCCAAACCCTTCACTTATGGGGTACAGATTCTCTTGAAGAGCCCAGGGCCCTTCTGTGCATGATTTCTTAGTTTCCCCAGACTGATTAAGTGCAGACATTTTCTATAGCGTCTGTCCTCTGGTATAAGATGCAACTTTCTGGAATCTGTTTTCATTTCATAACAGTTTCTGTATACCAATAACATACCCTTTAGATCTCTGCTCTCTTGTCATCTGATCCATCAGTTCTAGGCTGCCTTCTGTCTACCCAGAGCATCTCCTTTTCTCCCTATGCCTTACTTGTTTCTTCTTGTTTTTCTCCTTGTCTGTTATCCTCTTGAGTTGGAACATGAACCATAGCTGTGACATAGCACTTTTTTTTTTTTTTGGTATGTGGCTTTACTACTCTTAAATAGTTTTGTTTCAAGGTACAGGATCCCAGTGGAAACAAGTTGAGACAAAATAAATGAATGGATTTATGAATTTTTGGGGACAAACCA